CATACGAGATGCCTAAGTGACTGGAGTTCAGACGTGTGCTCTTCCGATCTGTAGGATCGTTTTCTCAAGTACCGATTTGGAAATTAGAGATTTCAAGTTGTAAAATGCTTTTTTGAACATTTCGATACGATCATTTTTGACGAAGTTGCTCTATCTTGAAGTTTGCCTATTTTTAGAGGATAGAACAGGTGATCCTTAATTTTTTGGACCAGTATATATATATATATATAACTTAAGATAATTTGCAGATTTTCAAATCCTGATGAGAAAAAATGAGGGTTTAGGTAACATTTAAACATATTTTTATAACAAAGAGAAATTCGCAGGCATGTTTATCAAAGTAATAAAATCATTTGGAGCTTTTTTGTTTAAAATGTGAAAAAAAATATTTTCCGAATACTAGGACAACTTTAACTATGATTTTCGGATTCAACAAGTGAAATTGAATAAGAAAAAAGGTGAACACAACGTTCCCCGCCTACTTCCCAAATTGTCTAAAATGCTGCATCTCCTTTAATGCTGGATTTAAATTTTTCCAAGATTTGTAAAAAAATACCTTAAATACACTTAAGTAAATTTTATGTTTTTTTCGGAAATTACAGAATGAGAAATCTTAGAAATTTTAGAATATTTCAGAATTCATATGTATAAAGATAGATAGATTTAAAAAAGATATATGTATATAGACTTTCTCAGCATTTGTTAAAAGTGTATTAATTCATATAAAAAATCTAATGAATTTTTTAAAAAATTATACAATTATACAAAAATTTTGAAAAATTATATGAAGAATTGTAAGAAAAATTTTCATCAAAGATGATTTTCCTCTAAATTTAAATGATTTTTTGGGACAAAATACTATTATAGTGATATTATAATATCTCTTTGTTTTCAGATGGGAATGTTTTTAATTGTTTTCTACATTTATTTGATCGAAAAGTTCGTGTTTTTAATACATTCCGCGGTGGTCAAAGTTGTGCATCCATGCAGATACAATTATGCATTCAGCTCAGTCTGTAGCCAAAGAGTTAACAGATATATGGAAAAACATAATTCCGCGCTTCCTCGTACAAGTTTTTGTTTGTTTTATTCGAGATCTTCGGTGTATATTTTATTATTATCAATTGATAGGTGGTAGCTGGCATGCCAAAGGTCACAAGGGGCCGACCGATCACCTCGCGTAGCAGCAGCAGCGGAAGCAGCGTCGGTCAGCAATCAATCTTAGGAAGTCGACCGCTTTCCGGTGATAAGACGTCTGCAACGAAGAGCAGATTGATGCAGCCACGAGTCGGCTTGAAGAGTCACAGCTTTATGAGGCCTACGGCCGCCAGCGTCAACAAAGGTTCTACGCCAAACTTGCCGAAGAGTATCAAAGTTATGATCAAGTGATAATTCTCATTGATAAAGAAAGAATGTTTTGTATCCATCGTTGACAATTGAAAATCGAGAAAGACTTTCAATTGTGATATACATTTAACAATCGCATTAGAATTAACAAACGGTTAGTGTTACGCAAGATCAGCTGCATCCGGAGTCTGATAGTTGATACTAAGCTGTAAACTGTAAGGACAATTAACGATTTCGACGGACAGCTCGAGTTGTTGATAATTAATGTTATCGTAAGGTAGATCCGCAAGATTAGATAAAAATTGTTATTCTCGCTTACTACGTCGCCTCACAATTGTTAAACTAAATTAAGTAAGACTATTATCATTTAGTTATGTACGCCATTACCAACCAAACGATGCTCGAATAAGAGGAAAATAATCAAATCTCTCTAGCTTTATCGCGCGCGACATTCACGTTATATAACCAAGGAAAGAAAATGCTCCCGTTTTTTACATCTAGCGCTAAAAATTGGAGAAGGTTTTCCTTTCAATAGCCTAGAGAACATATTTATATGAGGTATATATGTAACATACTCGACTAATGTGCATGTACGATATATTATACATATAATTCTTACTGTTAACAAGGATAAATATATATAGTAAAATATATGTCCGACAAATAAATTAACATATTACACGATAATGCAATTCGACATTCGATATAGAAAAACCGCGCACGACGATATTAAATAAACTTACAATTAACTATACATACTTTACGAAAAAAAAGAATTAGCGCAATTAGGTGAAATTTGTTGAACTTATTGTAAACACGATTAATTGTAAACACGAGTAATCCGCATATTGCACTATCTTTTATATGTACGTACTTTATGCACTGTATTCGACAAGAAATATCTACATATTTTATGTACAAAAATGTAAATCAACGATTTTTAAATTGCATCAAAAAACCGTATTCCCGACGAGAGATGTTTAGTGAGATCACTCTCCAAGTGTATATATTCGGCACCGGCGCTTTCTAAAAAGCGTAATAATTCGAAAAAACTAACACTTTTTTCGATTGTCAACGCATTACGTTGCATATAAATCCTTCATACGGTAGTGTAAATATAACATTCAGCTACGGCTAGTCAACCGGTGCGCGCAATCGACAGGCAGTATCAAGATCGTCTTACTTCACCATAAATGGAATCCATAGCTTTGAAATGAACTGTAAATTATAATTAACTTTGCTGTTCTCTATGTGATTGACAAAGCATAATTATCGTAAATGAGATGTATTTACCGTAATTTTGACGCGGGTTAACTCAAGCATCCCGATTGTTGATCTCGATATAGTTATACAGAATGACATTATTTGACACAGAAATTAAATCCTTAATAAATTATCAAATAAATTGATATTACACGTATACATATACACACACATATATAATATATATGTATATATATATATATATAGATAACTTTCTATGTAACAAGCACGAGATCAACATTCTCTCTCTCTCTCTCTCTCTCTCTCTCTCTCTCTCTCTCTTTGATTGTATATACATTAATTATTTTATTAACTATTATTGCTAGTTATCATGAATAAAATTAAATAAGGCAGCTGAGGAACTCGCACATTTGCAGTTGCATCACCGCCACATCTTCTCATATCTTTAATTAATTTATTATAAATGTAAAGTAACACGGGCTCTATATGGCTTTATTTTGCAAAACCAGCGAAAAAAGGAGAAAAATTGAAAATAATGAAAAATGATATGAGACATTGTAAACATTAACATAGAGAATAAATAGATAGAGCCTTACCAATTTTTCGTTGTTACCAGCAAATGATAGGACTACGACAGAAGAGGGAATATATTGATGTTTTTTTCTTTGCCTCTCTTTGTCTGTTGATTCATTTGGAATGTGATGTGTGTATCACACATATATGTATACTGCATACATACACATTACATTTTATTCTTATTTTTAATAAATGAACGTTGTACGCACACGTTCCCTCTTCTGTCGCAGTTGCACCATTTGCTGGCAACATGTTCTTCTATAGAAAGAAGGAGGCAATGTTTCATCTATTCATACTATGTCTATAATTGTAAGCAATGTGCGTCAATGTCTTAAAAGATAAGAAGATCCCAATTGCTTACGCCCCTACAATTATAGATTTATAAATATTGTAATATTAAGATTAATCGATGAATACCCTGAATGGACGAACGGAGTTCCTTTCAACAAATTAAAAGAAAATATATAAATAATACATACAGAAACGTAAATAATTAACGCTCGGAAATCAATCGATGAAAAAAAATGAAGTGCACGAACCCGACCAGTTCGCGCACGGAAGTGAAATCCGCTCTACTCGACGACAGTTGAACGATCATTCGTTCACTTGATTAACATCCATCGCTCGATAAATAGTCGCCGATGAATCGCGAATAAAAATCCAGGTTCAGGTCATCTCGGCCCTCGACCCACGATCCTGAAATCCGAGCGACACGGGACTTTGTGGCGCCAGGATAAATTCAAACTGCAAGCCGAGCTCCTCCTCAACAACGATCTCAAATTCTCGAACAATCTAGATAAACCAATCAATGTGCAAAAATAATCTCGATAATTCTAATCATTTATTCCGATTTTCTTTCTTTTATATCCTAGTTCACCTTACCTTTGCTAGAATAAGCTGCAGTGCTAGCTCTACGAAACGTTTTCCTGGGCATATTCTTCTACCAGCTCCAAAAGGAGCGACCAACAGCGGCGAGTGGGGTACCATAGGTTTCAGCCATCTCTCTGGCAAACACTTGGACGCGTCTTTAAAATTATCGTCACTTAACCCAGCAATCCATGTATGCAATAATACCACTGTCTACAAACAATTGCAAGAAAAAGCAAATTGTGAATAAAAATATTTTTCCGGTAATCGATATAAAGAGATATAAAGAGTGTTATTAAAACTCACTCCAGAATCAAGGCGATATCCTTCAAGTTCTATAGGCTCGTCCAGTATGCGGGCTATGCAAGGTGTTGTAGGTACAATTCTGAAATATAATATGTTCCAGTATACAATATATATGTATTTGCTAATATACACTGCCGAAAGTTTGCAAAATTTTAAATCACATAAAATCACAAAATTTAAAAATATTCCGGAAACATTACTAAAAAATTCGATTTTTATCTTATTCAATATTATGTCTCAATTTTAAAGTAAATAAGTATTATATTTAACACAGTTGTGATTAACAATAACATTATTTAATTAAATATCAGGAAAGACCGTGGAATGTTAACAAACAAATGAGATTGTATGACACCTATACGGTACAAAGCAGAATCTTAGTGCTTCTATGATATTATTAGTGTGAATCTTACAATTTTTGGTTCATATGACACTACGTGGCCGCCCATCGCGTGCTTCTCCGTAGCTCCGAAACGAGTAGATGTAATATCACAATTAAATTGCCGAAGGCAATCTAATAAATCGATGCTCAAAGCATCTAGTACTTAAAA